AGCAAATACTCATCATCAACAACCTTTTTCATCAATAGTTATACAAAATCTTTCAAAACTTTAGGTAAGGCCCCTTTCTAATGCATAGAAACTTATTTACTACAACATGATCATCTCATACATACATATATCTAGAAAAATACGACACATACATCTCAATTCATAGAAATACTAAGCTAAGAGTGCCCCTACCGCAAAGAGGGAAACAAGGAGATGAAAACCCAAGTAGAGAAAAGGAAATGTTGATCTTCCCTCCTTCTTCACTTTTGATACAAGATCTCCGATGAAATCTTAATGAAAATGGATAAAATCAAGGGTTTAGGGCTAGGGTTTTTCGAATAAGAGAAGAGAGAGAGAGAAGAGGAAAAGGAAAAGTGAGAAAAAGAGAGCAAAAAGTGATTTTTAATTGGCTGATCTTGAACAGACCGCTCTAGCAATCAATCCACCGCTCGAGCAAACAAATCATCCTCCTAGAATCTCAGACCTGTAAAATGAGACCTGCGATCAATCCACCTCTCTAGTGATCAATCCACCGCTCGAGCGATCCCCCTTTTCTCAGGATGTTACACAAACCCGGACCTAAATCATTGGTTGCATGTGCGCCTGCACTCACCTTGTGTGGCCACTGCATGTTCGTGTGCCTGCACTTTTCCCCAACATATAGGAATGAAAATTTTGCAAGGATGACAATGCGACATTGGAGGGAGGCATTAGGCAGAAAGTGATGCTCAACCCTAGCATCATCTTCTAGCTTCCTCTCCAAGTCAGGAATGCTTATAAAAGCACCCCCAGCCCCCTATTTCAAAAAGTTTAAAAAATTATGAACCTTTGCAAGCATTTGAGAGCTTGTGAAAGAGAAACCCTCCCTCTCACCCTCTATTCCAAAATTTCCCACCCTAATAGCAACCTGAAGTAACTAAAATAGCCTAAGGACTTTGAGAACTTGAACTATCTCATAAATCTAAGCTTGAGAGAGGCCTAGAAGCAAGAAAACATAGTTTTCTTATCCTAATCTTCGTGTGCTCGTCGGTTCTTGAAAACAAGTAGGTAAACCCTCCTCCTTTTTGCTATTTTTTTTTACTTATTTTCCTTTTATTCTCAATAGTCAATCATGTTTGGGGTCTTAGTTCATCATTCTATCATGTAAATGGGCTACTTTGCTCATTTTTTTTCTCCTTTTCTCGCATGTTTTTTCCTATTTCATTTAGAACAACATATTTAGGGCAAAATATCATGTAATATTCATGCATTACTCTTTTTACTTGTTAAATGTTATTTTGTGCAGAATCATCATTGTGGTGGCCTCAAACCAGACTTATGATCATTATTAGCATGTTTAGATGTTGTAACAACCTCGACCTGTGATTAGTCTATAAACCATGATTAAGAATGCCTAATAAGTAATTAAGAGGAAATTCTGAGTTAATTGCATGTGTGTTGTGTTATTTGTGTTCATATCTGTCTGACGTAGGAATATCTGTCTGAATTTCTGATTCAATATGCAAATTGAAGGCCTTATTGACATCCGAACACAAAATTGACTAAGTCTATGTGTTATTTAGAATTTTTAGAATTTTATGGTAGCTTTAATTGAAAACTAATTTGGAATCAAATAATTAGAATAAAATAATTATAATTACTTAGCTTAAACAAGAATTAATTAAGTTTCTCTTACTAGGCCTATATAAGACTAATTGAGTTCTAGAATTATTGCTATTCATCCATTTCATCATCCTTGGAGCCTCCAAAACGTAAGAGAGAGAGAGAGAGAGAGAGAGAGAGAGAGAGAGAGAGAGAAGAAAAAGAAGAAGAAGAAGAGGATTGAAATCCTAGAAGAAGGAAACGAGAAATTGCTAGAGAATTGGAGGAAATTGGTGAAATTACCCAAGAACTCGCTACGATTCAAAGAATTGTAGACTTTAGGTAAGAATTCAATTCATACTTTATGAGCTCAAGTCAGTTACATGAGAATTCAAGAAAGTATAGGAATTGATGCATAATTTAAGCTAAGAAAGTAGAATTGGGAAGGAAATCATGCATGCATGCTCATTCCATCATAATTTGAGTTTGTTTTCTAAGAATTCTTCCATGCATGTCATTGTTTTAACTTTGTTTTGAGAATCCATTATATTCCATACCATTTTATCTCAATTGATCATGTCTTGGATCATGTTTTGAAAGAAAGAAGCCATGTTAATACATGCATGTTATATACATATACATTTTAAGTTTGGTTTTGCACAATTGACTTGCTTTCGGGCTTTGATTTTGCGAAACGACTTTCAATTCAAGACGTTCAATGATTTTCTACATGTTTTCTCTAGTTTTGGGCCCAAAGAAATTGTTTTGAAGCTTTGAACTTGAGTTTTTCATCTTAAACAGCAATCTGGAAATTCCAGAAGTTGGTCACACCGCTCAAGCAACCAAAGTTTCGCTCGAGCATAAAATTCGAGCTCTCAAAAGTTTTACAAAGTTTGGGGGTTGGCTCGAACAACCAAAGTTGCGCTCGAGCAACCACCCTTTGTTTTATACCTTGGCTCAAGCAACCAAAAGTTGGCTCGAGCATGAAATGAGAGCTCCCAGTAGTTTTATAGACTTTGCAAACCACTCAAGCGAACTACCCTATTTTTCAAAATTTTGCAAAGTGTTTTAATGTACAGTTTTGCATCATCATTGCATCCTAAGCATTCCTAGGCCACGTTGAAGCTATAATAATGAGGATAAGAGTTAGAAACAAACACTAAGAAAGAAGAATGATAAGTTAAGAACCTTTGGGACGTGTGTTCAATATGTATCTGTCACTTGCTTGTGTAAGTCACATGTTAACACCCACCTGATCGATCTGTTTTGTTCAAGTGATTTGTTCAGCCTCTAGAGCAATCTGTGAGTAACAACTCTGTAAAGCTATGTTTAACTATGAGTATTTTCTGAATGAAATGATATGATAAGCTCTGTTTTCTGAAATGATATTTTCTGTATAGATGAATGATTGTTCTATTTCTGAAATGTATTTGTGGCTCCTTATGTTCATATGGCCCTCACCCGGGGGAAACAATATTGTGGCCTATGTTCATGTGGCCCTTGCCTGGGGACAACAATACCGAGGCCTATATTCACGTGGCCCTTGCCTGGGGGATACAATACCATGGCTATATGTGTACAAAGATATTGACCTTATGGTCGTCGGTACCGACTATGTGTGTGAATTTTATGACCAATCTGATTTGTTAGCTAATGGATGTACCACATATAACTGCTTATGAATTCTGTATATGTATGTGAATCTGAATCTGTTTCTGATGTGAACTCTAATTTCTGAATCTATGAGGGACATCATTCATAAACCCTTTACTCTTTTGCTATTCACTAAGCTTTAGCTCACTGTATTATTTATGTATGTAGGTGATCAGGAATGGGACCAGGCCTAAGTTGCTTGCCTGGAGTTCTATTTTGTAAAGCCAACCACTGTGCCTGCTGAGGAGGCTCCTAAATTAAGAAGAGGTCAAGTTTGGTGAACCATGTTAAAGACTTTTGTTTTCTTTTGTTTATTCTAAACAAGTTTCTGTATATGATATAATTAAGGCTAAGACCTATTTTGTTTTATTTGTGTAAGGGTGACGTAAGGCGGATGTATTTATGATGTCACATGTATATATAAATTATGTTTAAATTTTCCATCCCATATAGGTCTGCACAGCTCTATGGATATTGTATTTTGATAGTTGCTTCTGCTAACCCCTGTAATTTTGTTAATTTGTTTCAGAGGCTCTTGGTAATCCCATGATTACTGGCCGGTTATGATGCTCAATCTATAAGGGCGGATTTGGGTCGTGATAGATGTATACTTAAGACATATTTAATTTAAGTGTTGTATGTAAGACATTGAAAGTGAGCATTTGGGTAAGTCATCCTTATCTCCACTGCGCTCACATGATTGGTGCATTGTCTTTTCAATTATGTAAGTTGGGTGCTTTCTATGCAAAATTGTTTGTTTAGGATGATTTTCATAAGTATTGTTTATCTTAGTTTATGTTTATGGCCATGTTAAGATACTATTCATGTTCTATTGAAAAATCCTTTTTCTTGAAGAACATGGCTTATTCATTGAAACTAAACAAATCACAGAATTTTAGGGTAGTAAAGGTTTTACGGTTAAAATGGACTTGTATGAATGATTAATCACTACAATCATAAAATAGAAAGTTAGTAGTGCCAATCTTCGGATTGGGAAAGAGCAGGTGCTTTCATTTAATGACCTTCCCCTTTTGTACCTTAGCTCTTGAACATGAAATTATCCGGTTATGATGGATCAGGTCTTTGGCTTAGTTTTTCATCGTTAAAGGTTTCTTAATTCCCCATAAAAATTAATTGGTGACTTTATGTTGGTTACAGCAATTTGGCACAACTTTCAGTGTGTAAATGGGTCTGATAACCAAAAAGGCGATACATCCACACTAAGGCAAAACAAATTAAAGAAATGAAGAACTAGATTGCCATCATTTAACTTCAACTGAAAGATGTAGAAGAAGAGGCTAAAGAAGTAGGAATTGTACACTGTTTCTTCTCCTTACTTTATTGAGTCCTCAGAACTAGACGCCAAATTGCCTCGGTTCAAAGGAACTTGTGCCAAAATAGTGATTGATTTGCTAGTGGTTGATGCCCCCTAAAACATTCTCAAGACTAAACTGAGTGGCCTCTTCTAATTTTCTTATTCCTTACACTTGGAACTTTCATTTAGCTTAGGAATTTGCAGCACTTTCTATTTTTGTTCAGCCTGTTAAGGCCATTTTTTGCTTAGTCTGCCTAGTTCTAGACTAGGCTATTTTGAACATTTCTACACATGTTTAGCTTTGTTTGACTTGTTCAGTTCGTTTTTGATAGGATGAATGCAATGAATTCTATGTTGTTGACTCCATCATCTTCTACGTTGTTGGATAGAATTTCTTCAAATACTTGTCATTTATTGGATGCTTGTGTAATTCACCATCTAGATCTTGCAACTAGTAAGAACCTCCTTTGCATATTCTAAAAGCTTGGAATAGGCCCTCCCAACTTCTAGACCATTTCCTAAACTTAGGATCTTTTGCACCAAATGACAGGACTACTTTCCAGACTAAGTCATTTTCTGCAATGCTCGTTGTTCTGACTCTTCGATTATAAGCCCTGGTAACTCTTTGTTTCTGTACTAAAAGATGATCCAAGGTTGCCAACCTTACTTCATCCAAGTCTTCAATCTCCATGAACATAGCTTGATTGTATTTAGTAGGATTTAACCCATTTTGGAAGGCAACTCTTAAGGACTTCACAGTAACTTCCCTAGGCAAGAGTGCATCATGCCCAAAAGTAAGCATGAATGGTGTGATTCTTGTTACAGTTTTCTTTGAAGTTCTGTAGGTCCACAATGCTTCTGACAAGATTTCATGCCAAATTTTGGGTTTATCTTTAATCATTCTTTCAATGATACCTTTTAGAACCTTTTTCATTGATTCAGCCTGGCCAATACCTTAAGCACAATATGGAGTTGAATAAGAAAGTTCAATACCATACTCTTTGGCAAAGGCACAGACTACTAAAGAAAACAGTTCCTCTATCGGCCACAATATGTTGAGGCAAGCCAAATCTGTGGATAATGTTTTCTTTGATCATCTTGATGATGTCACTTTGATTTACTAACTTCATAGGAATGACTTCAACCCACTTTGTAAAGTAATCCGTAGCCACAATTATGTAGGAATGACCTTTTGAAGGAGGAGGAAAAATCTTGCCAATCATGTCAAAGGACCAACCTCTAAATGGTCATGATTATGAAATTCGTAGAAGTTGTTATGGCATGTTGGATAAGGCCATGGTCTTAGCATGGTAGGCACCCTCAGGAAAATCTAATATAATCTGAGAGAATAGTAGGCCAATAGTATACATACCTTCTAATAAGCTATCTCATCTTCCTTCTTGCCTGATGAGCCCCACAAATTCGTTCATGTGCTTCAGCTATTCCTTTGATTAGTTCTTCATTAGAAATGCATTGCAGCAGCTGTAGACACTCCATTTTGACCGACCCTAAGACTTGGGCACCTTAACTCTTGGCACCAGATGATAAGAATCCGGAATGCGTAATCCTTTGATTCCTCTAGCGGAAAGCTCAATCTTAAAGCGGATCCTAGGCTTTCACCTATTTTGTCTAAATGTTTTTAGACTATTAAAACCATTTTTCAAATTTTTTTAGCCATGTGTAAATCTAATCAATTTCATGATGTTCAAAGCTCGTCTTTCAAATCAAAATGTCGTGACTTTTGATAACTGAGCAAGGACAAAGTGAGAATGAGTGGAAATGAGGAGAATCTCCTGGAAAAACCTTGGTTTCTCTTCAAAATTGACCTAGCCATACAAAATAGGATCTAGCCATACAATTTTACAATTGGCTGGCCAAAAAATTGATGGTCGACCATATTTTGGCTGGTTGGAAAAAATTGTCGAGAGACAGAGCAGCTTCAAGTGCCACCTTCGCAATTCTTGTGCGAATTGTGGACTAAGCAACCTCTTAGCCAATATAAACACTTCTCTTTCAAGAGAAATGAAGAAAAGAGAAGAATTGGATGAGCCTAAAGATGTTCATATATTCTAAGCTTTGAATTCTTCAATTTCTCTCTTTCTATACATACATACACGTATACATACACCATTGAAGCCATTGATTGAAACTTTTCTTGCTGGAGATTCAAAGGACTTGAAGACTTGAGGGTGCCTTGAGCAAGGATTGCCAATCAAAGAGCCCTTCCTACACTTGATGTAATATCTTGAAATTTTCTCTTCTGTTTTCTCTCTTGCCGAACACTCTGAAATTCTAAATTTATTTGTCTATTATGTGATTGGGCCTTGTGGATAGTGGAGGGGATTAGCCACCCCTCCACAGGATTGATTGGATTACTTGAATTCTAGTTTTTCTTACATTTTCTCTCTCATTTTCTCATCTCCCAAACACTCTATTTTCTGATTTTCTTTGGTAGTTTAGATTAGTATTGGACCTGTATAGAGGTTTATAGTCATACCTTATGGTTTGTTTTCATAATTATGTTGTTTGCTTGCATTTTATTTCATTTTCCATCACTTTCTCACTAATTTTCTCATCATCCAAATATATTTAATCCTCATGATCCAATCCATGTTCACATTCTAATGAACATTTGTGTTGTTTTGTGAGATTAATTAGGTGATCCATGAGTTTAAATTGGTGGTTAGAGATTTGTAGATTCTATTTTCTTTTACTTTCTCGTGCTTTCTCTCATTTTCTCTTTACTTTCTTGGAAGTAAACATGGCTTCCACCTAAAAGTGACTTGTAATCTACTCTCTCCATCTACTTTCAACATGGATTTGGGTATCTATTTACTCTTTTCCATGGGAGATTATGTAGATTCATATTCACTTCTTTGATTAGTTTTTTTGTTTAGTTTTCATTTCATGTTTGTTTCTTCTGTGATCATCATGGATTTTCTATATCTTTGATGATCATCGTGTGATTTTCTATATCCATTGGTGATTAAGGAGGACCATCATATCATCTCTTCCATGGTTAGAATGACGGATTTAGTTACCTTTATTTGATGGTTTCTATGATCATCATGTAGTATCTTGTGTCACTTGATAGCTTTTCTTGTGTTTTCATTCGATAGCTTTGTTATATAGTTGAATCATAAATGATTAGTTTTTTATTTTGATTAGTAGTTGCTTCCATTATTTTTGGTTGAGTAGATTATTTTGTTTATAGCTTTGATGTGTATGTGATACCCATGTTCCGTAATATCTTAATTGGTCCTTAATACGAATGTGATTATACCTTTTGATATGATTTTGTGTGCCATCATGTGAAAATATGTGGTTTTGAATTTCTATCTGTTCACCATAGGAATATCTGCTTGATTATCTGCTTTGGAAATTAAATTGAAGGCCTTATCGGCCACAGAACCCGAAATTAATTGCGCCATTGTGATTGGCATAATTTTTAGAGCCTATGGTGAAATTTAATTGAAAATTGATTTGGATCAAATTAAGTTGATTAAATTAGTGAATTAGTGCCCCATTACTTTATTATTATTATAGTGCCAATAGTGGGTTTTGTTGGGTAAGGGCACTACACTCTCTATTCTCTCTTCTTGCTTCATTTGACTGATTTGGGACTCAAAATTAGAGGAGAGTTGGCTGTAGAGAGAGAGAGATGAGAGAATTGTGCAATTTTAGCTTATAGCTTGGGAACCTTGAAGATTATTCAAGAATTTGTTATAGATTGTGAGAATTAAAGCTTCTAGGTGAGTAATTCTTGGATTATAATTTGTAATTTTGTATATTCAAGCTAGTTGGGTGATCAAGAGTAAGATTGAAATGAAATTGGGTTGGTTTTGTTGAATTGAAGCTTGATATGTGCATGCATGTAAGAAATTACTTTGAAATTGCATGTTTGGGCACAAATATGTATAATCCATGTGAAATATTAAAGGAAACTCATGTTTTGACCACCTCTTCACCAATTAAGTTGAGAATGATGAGCATCTCCCACATGCATGTACAAATCATGGGAGTGTAAGTCTTGAATGTTTGAATTTGAGCATGTTGGTGATGAGTTTGACATATTTTGGGATATGCATATAGATAAATCAAGAAATTGAGCTTCCTAATGTTGTAATCTTGTATTGGTACCATGGTAGTTTGTGTATATGTGAAATTTGAGCCTTAGCATGCATGACATGTGGTTGGAATGTCGAATTTGAGCTCAAGAACACAATCTGGAAAACCCAGAATTTTGATGTCCGTTCAAGCGGGGTAATGGTCACTCGAGCAGGAAAAACGTGCTCCCAGTACTTTTTGCAAACTTGGTGTCCGCTCGAACGGGTGAGTTCATGCTCGAGCGGGGGAGCTACTTAGACAGGCATTCCGCTCGAGCGCCCTATTCCACGCTCAAGCTTATTTTTCATGCAACCAGTACTTTTGCAGGCCCTAAGGGTCCGCTTGAGCGGGGACCCAATTTTCTGAAATTTTGAAAATGCATTTTGTGTTCTGTTTTTCCGTTCCCTTTCACTTGTAAGCACTCTTAGGCATACATTGAGCATTGTAATTGAGTTAAAGAGATAAGAATGAAGCCTAAAGAGGAGAATGCGAATTTAGAACAGATTGAATTATTTGTGACCCATACGTGTTATGTGATGTGTAGGGTCAAGCTCCAGGGCAAATCCACAAGCCGATCACTGTGAGTAATATCTGAAATACATATTGTTGTCCAATTGCTTACTTCTGTGTAAGTTTTGTAAAGTTCATTAATTTTGAATGGTGGACAAGTTTGAAAGGCTTAAATGCTAGTTTGATATGAAAGGCCTATGAGCCAGTTTGATACGAGAGGCCTATGAGCCAATTTGATATGAAAGGCCTATGAACCAGTTTGATATGAAAGGCCTATGAGCCAGTTTGACACGAAAGTGTATATGGGCCGAAGGCCGTTTGACACGAAGGTGTATATGGGCCGAAGGCCGTTTGGTAATAAATGTGGGCCGAAGGCCGTTTGACATAAATGTGGGCCGAAGGCCGTTTAATGTAAATGTGGGCCGAAGGCCGTTTGATGTAAATGTAGGCCGAAGGCCATTTGATACAAATGCGGGCCGAAGGCCATTTGACATAAATGTGGGCCGAAGGCCGTTTGATGTAAATGTGGGCCGAAGGCCGTTTGATATAAATGTGGCCCGAAGGTCGTTTGACATAAATGTGGGCCGAAGGCCGTTTGATGTAAATGTGGGCCGAAGGCCGTTTGATGTAAATGTGGGCCGAAGGTCGTTTGATATAAATGTGGGCCGAAGGCCGATTGACATAAACGATTGGGCCGAAGGCCGATGGACATGAATGAATTGGGCCCGAGGCCGTATGATGTGTTTGGAACCTCAATTACCTAGCTTTCATATGTCTATGTATGTATGTATTAGTTGGAAATGTAAATTGGGCCCAAGGTCGTTTGATGTATATTATTCCAATGTATATTCTTTATTTGATATTATTCACTAGGCTATCGCTCATGCTCATTCATGTATTTGTAGGTGAGCCCAGAGAAGTCCAAACCCAGCCCAGTGAAGTCTATGTGGAACAACAGAGGTTTTGGAAAGTCAGCCCTTGTGTCTCACGCATGAGACCTGCCTTCGCCTTTTTGTCATTTTGTTCTACGTTGTCATGTTGGCGAAGCTTTTGTATATATCTATTTATAGTTTTTATGGGCTGATTTAGTTTTGGATGATCCTGTCTGTACAGAACTTTATGGTACCGTATTCTGTTGTGAGTTTTTAACATGTGTTTGTATGGAATGTTATGATGTGGATATAAGCACGGCTCTATGGACAAAGTTTTAAATTTTTGCTTCCGTTTGGCCTCTCTTACTCTGATGAGTTTTGTCTTATTTGGTTTGAGGTCGTAGGTAATCTCGTGATTACTGGCCGGTTATGGCCTTAACCCATAGGGGCGTGTTCGGGTCATGATAGTATATCTCTTATCTCTTCTTCTCTATCCCTTTTATTTATTGCTTTCCTTATCTTGGCATTATGTTTTCTTTATTTCCTCAGTCTTCCATGTTTTGCATTCATTTTTCATGCATAAGGCTTGACATATTTTATCTCTCATTTCTTTATTTCCTATGTGATAATGTGCACTACCCCAAGTCTTGAGATGGTTCATATATCGTATGATTAGTAGTCAATTAGTTTGTTTGCATCTAGGATCATGTATATTTTTTTAACCTTTTTTGCTTGGCTTGGTGAGCTTCTTTCATCTCTGTATCCCGATTGTATGCGTTTTTCTTACTATGTCTAGCATTCTTACCATACGACTACTTGCTTGCTTGATATATATCTTTGGATACCGACGGATGAAGGTTATTTCACTTAAGTTCGACTGATATTGATTTCCATCCACGTGGACTCAGCTTTTCTTTGAGTTGCACATTTTCAAACTCTTTTTCAAAATGCATGAAATCAAAGCATTCCAAAGTAAGTGATTTAGTCTATACTTGTTTGCTTCACATAGTAATTTTAGCATTAATAATCAGAACATGGACATATATATTAGTAATAATCTCATATCTAGAATTAATAGAGGCTGATCATTGATCAAATAGGCGGGAGTGCTCAATTCATGACCTTCCCCTCTCATACCTAAGTTCCCGAGCTGAGACACTTTGGTTATGATGGACAATGAACTTTGGCCCGAGTCATAGGTTTCCTAGTTTTCCCAAAAGATTAGGTGGTGACTATGAGTTTGGTGACGTAGTCTATTTTTGGCGTTTCTTGTGATTAGTGGATTTTTTGTGAATTTTTCATATTTGGACTCTCATTATGTTTCATATTGCACTTGTGGAACCAGACCTAGAAGGGTTCTAACTGTTGGGCCCACTCGAACCCCTCGTCCGGTAGATCCCATAGTAGCAGATCATCTTCTGGACTTCTCTTGTAAATTTCTCCTTCAATCCAAATATAGTGTGATGCTCTCCTCTAGTCTTTCTATCCACAGGAAGTTATGAAAGCCTCAAGAATTGGACTATAGGAAAACGCCAATCTTCTTCAGAAATTTCTGACATGTTCACTTCTAAGATGGGATGCTTCATTCTCTTGATTAAAGGCATCTACCTTTTCTAGATGGTGATGGTTCTCTGATAAATCCTTGAGGAATTCTTACTCCGATTGCAATTTGAGCCATCTCATTGCCTTCATAATTGAATCTTTTAGGAATGTGTTTAAGTGAAGTATCATCAAAGTCTTCTAGAGCTGTTTAGCTTCCATGAAGGAAGGAACCAAGTCCTCACTATGGCATTTGTAAATGCCTTCCAAGTGATTAATGGCAAGTTGTGAGTCTCCAATCACTTCCACTATTGAAGCATCCATTTCACTCAATATCTTGAAGTCGATTATCATAGCTTCATATTCAGCCTGGTTATATAAGCATTCAAAATCAAACTGAGAAGAGAACTGTGTCTTCAAGCCTTTGGGAGAAATGATTATGACTCCACATCTAGAAACTAGTTTAGTTTTAGAGATGACAACTTCATTTTCTATTAATGAAAAGGAAGTTCAATATTATGTAAATTAAAACCTTAAGAGGGCCCAATATAATTATGTCAAAATCATAATATTTATTTATTTATTTTTAAATTTGAAATAATATCAGTGTAATTTTTCAAAAAATGATATAACTATTTTTACACTCATTTCTTGAAGAAAATGGGTGTGTGAGACTTACATGAGTGTGTGAGATGCTGACTCTTTCTTTATATATATAATATAATTTGGATTTTCAAAACAAAGTCAGGAGAAATTATTATGTAGTGTTAATTCTATAAAATTATTACATATTTATGAAACAAATTATGATTTTAATTATTAATATTTATAAAATTTACAATGTATTTGTAATTATTTTTTAAAACTCTCACTGTTCTGAAATTTTCCCAACAAAATAACAATTTGAGATTAGTCATCAATAACCTAGATGGAGATACAAGCCATTAGGGGTAGGTGCTTTTAGCATTTGTTTGAGAATAGGGTATTTTAGTAATTGTTGGCACTAAGTTTTGAAAATTACTGTCGATAGGAATGCTGACGTGGCTTGACAAATGTGCCAAGGGAAAAGTATGAGGTGGCATAATGACCTGACTTTTTGAAGAAATAAAATAAAGCTAGAAAAGCCAAGGAAGATTGTTGGCTGGAGAGGCAATTGAGTTGTTGAAATCAAGGAAGCAAGGACCAAGTCAAAGATAAATCTGCTAACAGTTCCTATGAAAATGGGATGTGTGGATAAATGGAAGCAAAGATCAAGGAAGATCGTGGAAATATGGCTGCATAAGAGAGTGACCAAACCAGTATTAAAGAGAAGACTTTAGGAGAAGAAAGATAATCCAATACAACTCACACATTGTGATTATTAGGTGTAGTTTCTATCTAGGAATAGTCAACTTAGCATTTTAGGAGTAGATCAGCGATAACTTCTCTTCTTTTTCTTCTTCTTATTTTTTTCCTTCTGTCGATCAATGTGTTTTTCAAGTTTTTGTTCTTGTTTGAAGTTCATATAACTTGTAGCAAGTGACATTAAGTTTGATTAATATAATTTTAGTTACTTTTTCTCATATTCTTCTTTATTTAATTATCTCCAAAGAAGTTCTTAATCTATATAAGGTATAGAACTCAACTAAAAGTTTGATCTATTTTTGTTTGGTAAAAATTAAGCTTTGTTTGTCGATTGGCTTCTGTCAATTGAACTTAAACCAAATTTTTGCTAGCAGTAATTTTTTGGTTTTTTAACTAAAATGTGAGATAAAAAATAAAAAATAAAAAATAAAAAAAATAAAAAAGTAGTATGTTTGAAATAATTTTTTTAACTTTTTTACGAAAAACTGTGCACAAAAGTAGAAAGAGAGAGAGAGAGAGAAAATTGACTTTTTTATATAATTCCTTGATTTTTTAGTGATTTGTTTCACTTTTTTGTTTTTCTAGTTCTTTCCAAACCAACCCTCAATAGGTGGAAAAGCATTGGCCCTTGTTATGGTGAGACTTTCGATTTTTACACTTTCACAAAATACATAGTCTGTATGTTGATTTCAAGGTTGTCACTTTATTGATCAATTGTGATCAAACTCATAGAAAGTCATATATCTTAATTAAGATTAACCTCAATTGGCAAAGCTATAGGTTCAAGAAATCGTCTGTGTGGCATTCGACGTGGCCCAACTCAGTATTCATTAGCAAATCTTGTAGTGAAATTAAGATTGCTCAACCTTAGAAGTTAATTTGCATGTCAATAACCTATTTGTCGTACTATTGGAATTCTTTCCCACCAATTGCCTTTCATTGTGTGCGGTATTGTGTGAGGGCCTTTGACGCACCGCACCAATTCTCTTGATTAACTATGACAACCCCAATGTGCATATCATTTCTATATATTATTTTATTAAGAGAAATTGCATAATTATGTGCTTATTTTAGTGCTTATCTATTTGTTCATGGAATATCTGTTTAATTGCTTACTTTGAATCAGAAATTGGAAGCCTTAACGGATTCAAAAACCAAAATTGACTAGTTCAATAGGCTAATTGGAATATTTTGAATTATAAAGTAAGTTTAATTAAAATATGATTCGGATCAGAATAATTAGAATAAATTAATTAGAATTGATTAGGTTAATTAGACTTAAGTTAGATTAATTAGCCTTAACCCTACTTAATTAGCCTAACTTAATCTACCATATATATATATATGATATAAGCTTAATGAACTCTTATTCTTCAACAAGTTTGAGCTGAAATTATAGAGAAAGAGTGAGAACAACACTTTTAGAGAGAGAGAGGGAGAAAGAATTGTAGAGATTGAAGAGGAATTGAAAAGATTAAGCAAGTTTACACTCAAATTCAAGCTCTAGGTATGAACCTCATCCATAATCCTTGTAGATAATTCAAATAGAAGTTGAATTCATAAAGTTTGTAGGATCATTTGCATGAATTTGAGAAGGAGATGCTAGAATCACCATGAATTTAGTAAACATGAGTTGAAATTGGGCATGCATGCATAATTCCTCATCTTCAAGCTTGATTTTCCAAAAATTCATTCATGCATGTAACTTAAATTTGTTGTTTCTAAGAGTTCATCACAATTTTACACTCATAATTTTATACATTGATATTTTGAAGGAAAGTATTTGATTACTTATACATGCATGGCAAAATAATGAGTTTTGAGTTTTGTTTTGAGAATTAAAAGGGGCTTTGAAGCTTTGGATTGAAATAAATCATGTATCTAAGAGTTATGGTGCATTTCTTCAAGTTCTTGTTAGCCATACAAGCTTTTGGGGTTGAAACTCATATTTTTGAACTTAGAATTCAATTATGGAAAGCCCAGAAATCGTCCACTTCGCTCGAACGATGAATCTATAGCTCGAGCGCACTTTGCATGCTCACAATACTTATACAAGCCTTTGCAGTTAGCTTAAGCAACAAAGTTTGCGGTCGAGCGAACCCAACTTTGCATTACACTTGACTCGAGTGACCAAGTGTTGGCTCAAGCCCACTTTGGCACCATCTAGTGCTTTTGCAGACAGGCCACACCGCTCGAGTGACCTAATGTATGCTCAAGAGAACTACCCTATTTTCAGCATTTTTGAAACACACTCTCATATACATGTTTGCATCTTCATGCTCTTATAGGCTTTCTTGGACATTGTTTAGACATCATTAATAAGGAAGTGGATTAGAAACACATTAAAGATGATTGAATTAAGATAGAACATTGATTGGGACATGTACTTTAACATGTGCTTTTATTATATGTTTTATGTAGGTGGTTGGGCTTACTATCAGTACAACCCACTGTGAGTAATGTCTTTATAAAGATATGTTCAAAAAGTATTTTGGAATTGTTAAAGAATGTTATTTTGAAATCTTATTTTGTTATCTATGAATGAAGATCCCTTTTGAATTTGTAATCGTGGCATCCTTAGTGAGGCCCTCGCCTGGGGAAAACAATACCATAACCCATTGGATTAATTGAAACATAGAGATCTCTGATATTAGACCTAAGTGGTCCACATTGAATTACCTGTTATGGTTTATTGATTGACCCATTGTGGTTCATTGGATTGACCGTAGTGGTCCTCTCAGTTTCGGTACATTGTTATATTGTTACTTTATTGGATGTACCACATATAATGGCTTGATTGGTTATTGTCCATGCAAACGATTGATATGCTTGGATATATGCATTGTTTTGGATATTGAAAAAGATATATTTTTAATTATGTTGGACTTCATTTATTTAAATCATTTATATTGATATTACTCACTGGATTCCAGCTCACCCCTCTCCCTTATATATGTAGTGGAGCTTTTGGATCACCAGGTGTAGAAGTGCTTTGGGAGTCCACTCATGTGGAACCGTTTTTGAGTGCCTCTATGATGGGGCATGCTTGGACTCAAGTGCAGTTAAGTTTGTCAACCCTTTTTCATAGTTTTGTTTTGTTTTGTTTTGATCTTTTGGGAACTTGGTTATGAATTGATGTTTGTTAAAAAAATGTTTTAGTGTGTTGTGTTATATTTTTTCTAAAGAGTTGGAAATTTATTTTGCTAGAGGAGATCTTTCATATATGCACTGCTCAATAGACTAACTTTTATATTTAATATTGCTTTCACTAGGCCCCATTTAATATATTATCATCGATTTTGTCTTTGAGGCCAAAGGTAATCCGGAATTATTGGTCAGTCACGACCTAAACTTCTAGGAGCGGGTTCGAATCATGACATTAACCATATTGAAAAAAATCCATATTGTACATTCAGAAAATGTGTCTCAATTATAGTCAACTACCCCTTCTATTTTTTCTAGAAATCCTAACCAAGTGACACACTATATAGGGCCATGGGTCGTGAAAGAGGTTGATCTCCACGCTTGGAGCATCCCCACTTAGTGATTGGTCTGCTAAACTTGCATGTGTGGTTCTAATTAGGCTTTCTTGAGATCCTCATACTGGAAATTAAGAAATTAAGGCCAGTATTACATCACTTGTAATATTCCCCTATTAGGCACGGACAATCATTTATGGAGAAGATGATTGCTTTGAGTGAGTCTCCCGTTCTATCTAATTCATTTAGTCATCAACACAAAGATTTGTTCATCGTCCCCAGGTGGTGCACGGGATTTATTTTCCCCTCTTTGTCA